CGCCCTGCATTTGGCTTCATTGCATGTGTTTTATGAGTCTGATGAGGACTTTATAGATTGGAATTGGACATATGGGCTAATATCAGACTTATGGCCTTGGACTGGACTGGGTTGGGATGTTTTCTCAATGTTCAATTGCTCTTGTATATAAACCTCTCCCTTATATACATATGCGTGTTTATTTGTTTCTCTAGTCTACCCAGACTAACACAGTGATCGTTGGAGTACAGATGTTAGGTTTCTAGGGTGAGAAATACCTCGGTTCTTGGTTTCACACAAGAAAGAATTCACACCGAATTCTGGTTTGTGATCCAAGTGGATTTTCATAAAGGACAGAAGAAATTTCGGATGTTACAGTCTCAAAAGAATTCACGCTATTTTGGGGAAGCGTGACAGACCATGCTTAGGGCGCACTAGAGCTCATCACTGAACATGGGCAATCTCATGGGACTGAGCACCCACACTTGGCAAATGGAGGCCAGAGAGACCGCGACATGCCAAGCGGGCACAGGGTCAGGAGGCAAAGGGCAAAGATAAAGGGCCGGAAGTCCCAGTCACGGTATTTGAGGGCTCTGGCTGGAAGGAGTGGTCAAAGGTATTGGTTGACCCCATTGGCTGAATTAAGCCCATCTGGGCCTCCTTTGGGCCACCCAGGTGTACCACCCACGTGACTCAGGCTTGAATTGGAGCATGCCCAGTTAGCCTTTATGGCTGGCTAAGGCTAGCCTGATTCTCTTTCTGTAGAGGTCCTTCAAGCATGGAGAGGGACAACCCCTCTGTCCCTGTCTCTGGCTACCTAACAGAGAGTGTGTTTAAAATAATCTCTGTTGTGATATAAAAAAGTAAATTAAGCCCAAAAGCTTAAGTGGGGTAAGAGAGGTGTCAAATCACTTAAAGATCACTAAAAAGCCGAAGCTGAAAAGATGCAGCAGCCTTCTGCCAGGAGCCCAGGTGGTGCAGTCATTGCTCATTGGGCTGTTGACCAAAAGGTCAGCAGTTTGAAACCACCAGCCACTCCTCAAGAGAAAGAAGGGCATAGTTTCAGAAGGAACAACAGAAAGCTTGGCCTGGTGTTCCTGCTGCTTTGCTTCCTTAACACCTGATTCGATGCCTCTGGTCAATGACTTCAATGCCAAGCCACACACAGCTATTCGGTCACAGGGCAACTTTTCTGCTTCCACGTCAACCACACAAATAAACGGAGGAAGGGACAGGAGTGACTGTCCTACAGACAAAGTTTTTGGGGGGTGGATATGGACTAGTGCGGGAGGCGTCCTAGCTGGGTGGTCCCAATCCCCGGTTCCAAACATGGTAAGAGCTTTTCCAAAAGGGAGAACTACAGCATGCTCCAGCAAGGTCCAAATCCCCCTGCAAACCACGGTCTGTGCTGACTTTGGGAGCTGGGAACTTCTGACCAGACCCAGGGATAGCCTTCCAACGCTGCATGGGTGACACACATCCCTTGGCATCTGCCACTCGCCGCAGCACACAGCTCAAACAATCCCACTGGCCTGCTTTCCGCTGGAGGACCCAGTGTATCTCCCACACAAAGCCCCCCACCATCCTGTGATGAGCCTGTTCAGCCCTCCATTTGTAGACTTTGTCCATTGACTCACTAACCACAACCTCTTTGTCCTTTCTTCTGACCGTCAGGGGAGGGGCCCTTCCTGGCACGCTCATTGGCTCACCGGCTCTCACCTCCTCCTACTCTTGGCTTTGAGCCCAGCCATTTCCAAAACTTCACCTGGCTCTCTCTCCAAGTAGCCTTCTCTGAGCTCTGGGACCCAGGGAAGGCTGGCACTTTCCAACCAGTCATCATGGGGACACCTGTGGCCGTGCTGCTGTGGCTGCTGCTCCTTCTGGGACCTGCAGACCCCCAGGAGACCGAGACCCGTGAGTGGGGGAAGATTCCAATGGGAGGGAAGGGGAAGATAGGATACAAGGGTTCGGGAGAAGCAGTCCTAAAGCAGCTCAGGTTCCCATAGGATGACAGCTGTGAGGGTCTGAGGTTCATAATCCAGCTCCCACGCTCGAATCCAGAGAGCCTCTGGGCTCTCATCCGTACATAATCTCTCATCAAAAACCCTTAAAGTACAAATGTAAATATGATCATCATCATAATAGCATCTCAGACCCCAGAGAGGTTAAGGGACCTTCCCAAGGTCACAAGCCAGGACACAGCAGGAATCCCTCTGCTCTGGATTCTTTCCAATGTCTGCTTTCCCTCCCATGGCTGGATGGAGCTGCCTGTCTCTGAAAGGGAGACGTGTAGAGGCGGATTCACTGGAGACGAGGTTCTAGGTCAGCGGTTCTCAACCTGTGGGTCACGACCCTTTCACAGGGGGCGCCCGATTCATAACAGTAGCGAAATGACAGTGATGAAGTAGCAATGACTATAATTTTATGGTTGGGGGGAGTCACCACAACGTGAGGAGCTGTATGGAAGGGTCACGGCATTAGGAAGGTTGAGAACCACTGTTTTAGGGGAAACCCATTCCTTAGCCCCACAATCAGGTACTCCAGGGGACCTGGAAGAAAAGACACCCGGAGCTTGGGACCACCCAGCGGCCATTCTCAGACAGGGGAACAGGGCCTTCAAGACATAAACTTTTCAGAGTGAAGAAATGTACACTGGTTTTCACAGTTTAAGCTGTTCCTGTTTAAAATATGTTCGCTTTACAGATGATCAGAATATTAATTTTACATAGGTCTTATAATAACGTCTTCCTAAAATTGATTAACAAGAATAATGCCAACACTAAGAATCTTCCAGGAGCCTGGGCTGCGATCTGCAGGGTCGGCAGTTTGAAACCACCAGCAGCTCCGTGGACAAAAGATTGAACTTTCTACTTTCATAAACAGTTACAGTCTCGGAATCCCACAGGCAGGGCGCTGTGAGTCAGCATTGACTCAGTAGCAGAGAGTTTGGGTAGTTTTTTGGTTTAAGATTCTTTCACAGGACCTCCAACATCATTAACTAATTCCCACGGGAATCATATGGTGAGTTCATTGTGGAGCAGAGGAAATATCTCCCCTCTATTCACCCATCTCCTACCTCATACCAAAACTCAAGGTATAGTCCTAGGATTCTGAGACCCATCCTGATCTTACCTTGTGTTGGTACCATCTGGATCATTTTCTGAATTGTCTATTCTTCTAGAATTCTAACTACAGTGAACCCTCCTTTATTGCAGTTAATCGGTTCTAGACCCTACTGTGATAAATGAAATTCCGCGAAGTAGGATTCCTTATTTGTAAATCAAATATTTTCGTAGTTAGAGCATAGAGGACATGAAAAAACACCCTTTAGTCACCATTACACTCGTATTACCCAATTTATTAAACGAAAAAGGGAAAATACAGTAAAACATTTTAGACGTTACAATTATCATTTATTTATTATATTATTTATGGCATCAAGCGTGTACAGTATGAGCCAATCAGTGGCAGTAATGACAGAGCATGCGCTGTTACGCAAAAACCGCGATAGAGTGAAGCCGCGGAAGTCGAAGCGCGAAGTGGCGAGGGTTCACTGTATATTTGTCAAGTCAGACTAGGTTATATTCCAACAATAAATAAAGCTATTAGTGGCTTGACCCAACACAGAGTTATGTCTTGCTCAAGTAAAGCACAAACACTCCCCGCTCCATTGGGTGACGCAGAGATCCAAGCTGTCAGCCTCTCGGGAGTCTTCCATCTTACCTGTGGCCTCCAGTTACTGCCTCTGGGGGGTGGAGTGGGGAGAGGAAGTCAGCCAACTCATAAAGGCCTCGAACCAAACGAAAGGCATCTCCTATGCTCACATTCCCCTTTGTCAGAACTCAGTCCCCTGGTCCCAATGTGCCTACAAGGAGACTGAGAAATGGTATCTTCTTATGTGCCAAGGAGACAAAACGATGGCGTACAGGAATAGAGTGATCTCCGAACCATGTCTAGAAGAAAAAGTAGAGCCCTATCATTCAACCAGGCCTGCAATGTATGAAGTTGGCCACCTGGACGAGAGCACTGGGAAGGGAAGTCTTCCTCCCCGGGCCTCTGCTGTCTCACAGCACACTACTCTGAGTGGATGAATCCCAGACCTCACACTATTTTCTCTCCTCTTTTACAGGGCCTTACTCTCTGTCCTTCCTTTACACTGGGCTATCCAAGCCCAGGGAAGGCTTCCCCAGCTTTCAGGCCATGGCCTACCTCAACGACCAGCCCTTCTTCCACTACAATAGTGACAGCAGAAAGGCTGAACCCCTAGGACCTTGGAGTCAGGTGGAAGGAATGGAGAACTGGGAGAAGGAAAGCCAACTTCAGAAGGCCCGGGAGGACATTTTCATGGTGACCCTGAACGACATCATGGACTATTACAAGGACAGAGAAGGTCAGTGGATAAGGACGGCTGGAGGGACTGGTCTTGGCTCAACAGACCACCTAATCATGGCCAGTCAGAGGGAATCAGCAGGGTAGGAATAGAGTCTTTATCCCAGAGGAAGAACGGAAGATCCGAGTGGAAATGCACAGGCACTTCTGCATCCCCCTACTCCACAACACACCTACTTAGACTGCTTCAACTCACATGGGACATGGTGTTAGAGTCTGTTCTCACCCAGGTACACACCCCCCGCTTAGCTCCCCACCCCCAAACCGCACTCACCCCTTCTGAAGGTATGACTCATCCAAGTCCAGGATGTTGGGCAAAAAGAGGCACTCTGAAAGTTTGACAGCCCTAGCTTCCCGCTGTGGCTCCACCAGTCACTAGCTGGTTGACAGGATCCACAGCAAATGTTCGGTGAGTGTCCAATCAAAACCACAGACTGGCAGAGTTACACGGAATCGTTAAAATTCCTCCTAATTATAAACTGCAGACACAGAGCAGATCAGCTGTCTTCGTGTGTAAGGAGATGCGGACAGAGCCAAGCAGGGAAACTAGCTCTTGTGTCTCCCAACCTGGTATTTTTTTTCCTCTGAAACCTATCCTCAGTGCCCAGCCCCCAAGTCAGCCAACTCAAGCCTGGTGAACGGCTATTGCTCACCCACTATAGAGTGGGTGTTGAAAGGTTGGCTTCTGAGTGCAAACATGTCCAAGAAGTTACATGGAATCTGAATCCAAATGAGGTCAGGTTTCCAAAAGAGGCCAAGAGTCGTGCAGAAATCAGAAAGATGTGGAATGGGAAGGCTCTTGGTAAGGAAAGGGGCTTGGGCTTGAAGTGTGTTGGAAGAAGAAGGAGATGGGCTGGAATGGAAATGCTGACATGGACAATTATGACCCAAGAAGGTAAAGACATGGCAACAGAGCACTTGGACAAGAATAACAGTAACTATTTATTGACCACTTACTATATGCCTGGCACTTGTACTAACACATTTAATACCCATAATAATCCTCTATAATAGGTACTGTTGACATTCTCTCTCTCTCTCTCTCTCTCTCTCTCTCTCTCTCTCTCTCTCTCTGGCATTCTATATTTTAGCAATGAGGACATTGAAGCACAAAGGAGTTCAGGGTCAAGTTCATGAAACATGGCTGGAGGGGGATGTCTAGGAAATCTTGAATTCAGAATCTAGCACTAATCAATATTGGATAGCCCATACTTTTATGATAAAAAGGAAAAGATTGTGTTCCAATTCCTTAAGGGGAGGTAGTGATTTGGAATAAAAAT